AAGCTGAGCAACGCTTGGTGTTAGTACCCAGTGTGTTCAACACTAATCCTCACAACCATATGTACTGCACAAATGATCTGCACTGTTCTCACTGTGATCATGGTTCCCACTGCAATGAGCTGCTCTTGACAACCAAGGAGCTCCAACAGTGTGCAGTAGCACCCAGTGATTGCCCAGAAACCCAGCTGCATCCTGCTTCCTCTCATGCAGTTACAGTATTTTCAGTCTCAGCACCCAGGGCTCCCATGGTCAAGGAGTGCAAGGAGGGTGGAGTGTACCCTCTCCACCCTGCTAGCCTGTCCAGTTCACAAAGATACTGAAGGGTTCCCAGAGTTGCAGCTAGACTCAAAGTCAGTGGGAATTGCAGATATTTCCCCCCTGAGATCATACTTGTGCACAATATCTGCAGGCTGCAGCCCCACTGGCTTCACAATTGTGCTGGGCACATACATGAGTGCTCACAGGCATCACTTCCCTTCCATCAGGATGGCCCAGAGCCCTGAGGGCAACAGAGTGACTGCTCATCCAGAATGGGAAAAAAAAAAGCATGCAGTCCACTAGGCTCTCCCTCCAGCTGTACCAACAGAGGCACAGACCCATGCAGTCTGACCTTACCTTGCTCATCAGAGTGGGTGATGTTTCTGGATCCAAGCTGCTGGGTCCTTTGTTGTGTTCTTGGTCATTCTGCTTGTCTAGCACAACCTTTATTAACCTGACTTTACCAGTTCTATTAGCTTTTATAAAGATGCATTTTAAAATCCAGGATTCTCCTATCCTTTTTCTTCTCTTGTTGCTTCTCTAGCCTATATTTTGTTCTTCTGCACCTTTGTCTAATTCCCTTTGCTTTTTTTTCTTCTCACATTCCCACTGTTAATAGGTCTGTACAGTAGTAGTGAAGGTAAGATGGAATGAATAAAATTGTAAAAAAACAATACAAAAAGAATAAAAAAGAAGTCCAAGTGCAGACAGACAAGGGCATAAAAGCAAAGAACTTCCTTTATTTCAAATCTCTCTCTTTCAAAGTTATCTAGAATTCCTGTGATGTTTAAGTAGGATAATACCTTCCTATTTTACATGGAACAGTCACTTTCTCAGAAAGAATTTTACCTTCACCAGACTAGAACCATTATTGCCTGGAAAAAATAAATAAAATAAAAAATGTGAGAAATGCCCTGTTCCTTAGCCTTCTACTGATTTGAGTTCTTGCTCTCTCTGATCTCTGGGCATATCAATTCCTAATTTTAATGCTATGTTATAATCTTAGTTATCTGTCCAGGTAAATGCTGTTATTACAGAATAAGGTATTCATTAAAAAACTTATTTCCTCTCTCAAAATTATCAAATAATTTTGAAAAGTGGAAAATCTTAACTTTTAGACTGTTTAAAGTATATTTTTATAAATTGTCTCATCCTTTGAGGAACACATGAATGGATGAATAGACTGGAAAAAAAATAGAAATTGGCAGGAACTTAAAAAGTAGTTATTTGGGGTCAGTATTGTGGCATTGTATGTTAAGCCTCTGCCTGTGGCTCCATCAACCCATGTGGGCACTGGTTTCTGTCTGCTTGCTTTACTTCTGATGCAGCTCACTACTAATGTGCCTGGGAAAGCAATAGACTATGGCTCAAGTGCTAGGGACCCTGCAACCATACGGGAGGCCCAGAAGAAGCTTCAGGCTCCTGGCTTCGGATGGGCCCAGCTCTAGCTTTTGCAGCCATTTGAGGAAATGAACCAGGAAATGGAAGACCTTTCTCTTTGTCTCTCCCTCTTTCTGGCTGTAATTCTACCTCTCAAATAAATAAATAAAATATTTTTAAATGTAATTATTCATTCCTATAGTTTCAAGCAACAGGAGGTAGCATGATGAATAGAAAGAAAGCGGAACTGACAAATGCCCTAAGATTTGACACTGAAATTATGATCCCATAGAGCTAATATATTAAACAATTCTTCAACTTTCTGAGATTATTCCTCACTGGTTAAGTGTGAGACACATCTAAAAGACACTGAAAAAAAGTATGTATAAATACATGGCATGCAAAGTAGCTCACAACACTCTATACTGCCTGCTAAATCATGAATATGAATTTGATTCATAGTGATCATAATAATTCTGACTTCTGGTTAGTAGGTAATGCAGTCATGGAATTTCTTCATTCTTGAAAATCAGTTTAGTCATACTTATGGGGCAGCTATTGGCTTCTCTCATTAAGGAAAGTTAGACTTTGTTATAAATTTTAAAATATCAAGTTCTCATAGAAGAGATCTTCCCCATGAAACTAACTCTAAAAATATGGTATATTAATAAACAATTAACACTACTCAACAAATTAATTTTCTATCTTTACAATTTATTGAATCCAACATATTAATTAATAGGAATATTTGATTATTTGAAAAGTAAAAATGGCATTTAAAATCAAAATATCATAACTTAGATTCATTTTTACTGTACAGAATAATATAGATGGGAGAAGACTAGTATGAAAATTTAAATTGAAATATGGAAAGAATGGCTCCACACTAAATTCTAAGAAACCTTTTTAACATTTATTTATTTATTTTGTCTCTAAAAGCTTATTGTAAAGAATCAAGTATATATAATACGCTTTATAACGGTATAAAATATTAAAGAGTATACACACATAATGATGCAAAATGTTTTTCTCAAATAAGGATTGGTTAAACCATGGTGCCTCCAGTCAATGACACCTTATGAAGCTAAGTAAAAGTTTATATATTGGCATTGACACATGCCCATGTTACATAACAGAAAAAGTAGGTGACAAAACAGTATGTATGGTAGAGTTCAGGTTTTTTATTATTATGCTTTTTATTGTGTAGGGAGGGCAGCTATTCTTACTGATACTGCTTGGATATTCTTCTACTGTTAGTGTCAACTTTCTGTCCTAACTAGTCTCTGGGGCAGGCAGCATCTACAGTTGGCCTTAGGCACTTCTGAGGGCAGCAGGGCAGGTGTATACCCGTATTCTCAAACCACGCTGGACTCCCAGTGGTGATTACAATGAATCATGTGATTTCTACATAGGACATTCATATAGTTTTCTTGAATAACTTTCATTCTTTGCTAGAGATGTTTGCATGGAGGGCAGCTGTGTCTTTTTGGATCCCTAGCCCTCATCATGCATATGGTTTCACCATTTATTTTTTACTCTGTTAATATATTAAATACTCAGCAGTAGGCTAGCTGATAGAGTCTGATGCAAAGAGACTGCTACACAATATTTTTTGAGTAAATAAACAAGAGATTTCTTAGACATTTGTTTAGAATAAAGGGGTAAGGATAGTAAAGAAAAATTTAATCTAGAAAATAGTAATAAGAAATTTTCAGTACAGTGACATCCATAATGGTTCACAAATGAAACATTAGAAAATTTGTCAGTTGCTCATGATTTTTCCACAGGTATTGCTGTAAACCTATGTCCTATATAGACTATGTCTAGACCGAGAGACATTTGGCCGTCTCCACCCTTGTTCAGAGGAGATGGTCAAATGCTTGACATTTTATTTGCACGTTAAGTTTTAGTCTCTCTGAAAGATGATACCCTTTTCCATTCTCTGGCTTAAAGTCAAGAATTCACCTAAATTATGTTTTACATCAACTCTTCTAATTATATCACAACTTGCTTTTACTACCTAGTACAGACATACATTCCCTATGTTTCATGACATTCCCATTTCTTCTGTGGCAGATTAATGATATTTTGCATTACTGTCCATGGTGGAGAAAGAAAATAACTGCATATGCCCTTTGCATACTTACTTGGAGATCATTACATATTAAATTGCCTTTTAGGCTTTGGTTCTTCAGGCCAATAACATCACTTCTTTTTCTCAGAGGTCTGATTTCCCAAGCTTAAGCATCCTTGTGGTAGTCCTCTGAATTGTCCAAGTTTTCCACAATTCTACTTTAGATGAAGTTCCAGAATGGCTCATTGGGGCCTAATGGAAGTTTGGAGGTCTCAATGATACTTTTTTCTAAGCTAATTAAGTGCTGAAGCACACACTCTCATAGAAAAATTAATACTATTTAATTTCAAATGAATTTTTATGGAGCAATATGGAGCTCTTGGCTGCACTCAAATGTTGGTTCCCAAGGTGTCTACTGAGAGATGACTCAATAACACAGATAAACTGGGGATTTGTCTAAAGTAGGATGAATATGACACTTTGGAATGGCAAAAGCGTACTGACCGCATATCCAGGAAAAGCCTGAATGATGGAAAGCAAAGAGAGGTCTAAAAATAATTATCAATTTCTCTCTAATACTAACTTCAAAGTATACTTGAAAATCCACTCATGAGGACTTCCCTGATCCTAAGTCTCTCAGACTCTCAGAGCGAATTCTACTCTCTGCCATCATATTTATAACAATGCTTTAGATTTTAGTTTCTGAGTATTGACTTCCTCCTTCTCTCCACTGTACTTCACACTGCTGTAACACTGAAATGATGAAAGAAGGTCAGAACGTATTACAATTTTCCTTGAATACATGAACTTTGGCACTTGCCTATCTTTCCACATTTCTTTCAGGTTTTCTTGATTACAAGCTCAGGAACTACTTCTAAAGGGCTTTCCTTGATGCCCCAATACTCATTTCAAAGGCAGAATTAGTTTCTCCTTTAGTTGTGTTCCAATAATAACTTATGCCTATTTATATTATATCAATTGTTATGCTTTAACCTAATTACTTGTGCATCCCTGTTTTCAACACTGCAATCTCCCAGGAAAACTTGGCATCTTATAGTTCTGTTTAAATACATTATCTAGGGAATAAATATGCATGACATTGAATTTTTTAGTAGTTCATCTCTATTACTAAACTGTAAGCCTCTTGAGGATAGAATATTAAAAAAATGTTTTCTTCTAGTAGCCTATAAATACCTATTGAATGAATGGATAACTGACAAGACAATGACATAACACTGATACATGATACTAGTTAAGCCAACAGAGCCACAGATGTCTTTAAGCTTACCGGTCCGTGGCATGTGAGGAGGCCATCTTCCATCTTCTCACATTGAGGGTCACACTCCACACAGATGGAGCCATTCTCAAACTCCCGAAATTCGCTGTGAAAACATCAGCTACATGAGGAGGTGTAAGCAAATAAGCTGTCATCTTAATAAATGAAGTAACATCTGCTAAAAGTCCTATTGGCAGGGTAAATTCTAGAGTTTGTTTCTCGATGAGCCAGGAGCATCAGAACCATTTCCCAGTACATTAAGGAATAAGTTTTCCATTAGGAGAAAAGATAAAGTGAAGCCAGATGGCTCCTCTTGCCCTCCATTGTATTCACCGATAGACTCATTCTGGAAACTTCTCTCCTGTGAGAGAGATTCTCACAGTCTAAAAATAAGAAAGTGTAACTCTTCTGATGACACAGCAAAACTGTTTTTACCTTTATGCATAAAGCTGTGCCTGTTTGTCTCCATATAAAATGTTATTCCTGGCTGAAGCTTTAATTTGTGAACTCTGAAGGAACTATTGTAGTTTTCTTGTTGCTAAGTTACATGAATGTTCCCCATCCTTGTCCTTCAAATCCCAAGACTCTTCAATTTATTTTTGGTGAAACTTCAAAAAACACTTTGATTTCTTTTCTTCTTTTAAAATATCTGCCTTGGAGAATTAGAAAAAAAGTCTTTTTATAGTAGATTTTATTTTCTTAGATTATTGATCTGATATCATAACATCTTTCTTTAGCCTACATTCTTTTTGAAGTAATTCTATATGGTATAAGATTTTTTAAAAGTTGAATGGTAATATCCTAAAACTTTCTAATTGAAATCTACTGGAATTATGGTCATCTTTTCTCATACTCCTATATTTTTGTGGCTATTTGTATATTGCACGTTATGACTGCATACATTTTCCAAGTAATGCCTATAACCAGTTTTTCATTTGCATAATTGGATGTCAGTTAGGAACAAGATGTTTAAACAAGCCCATTCCTACTAATAAACAAGAATAGGGTATTGTGTAAAGATTGTCTAAAATGTCATCTATGACTCATTAACAAAATCTGACTATTTGTAACTACATTATTTTGTGCATTTATATATTGAGTTATCATTCCAAACTAATATCATTATTATAAATATTACAATAATGGATCAATTAGGTGATAAGTTCAAATATATTTTCTCCTCACATGAAGTGTTCATGTTTTCCTCATTTGAATACGTTAGTCTTTTTTTTTTTTTTTTTTTGACAGATAGAGTTAGACAGTGAAAGAGACAGAGAGAAAGGTCTTCCTTCTGTTGGTTCACCCCCCAAATGGCTGCTACAGCCGGAGCTACGCCAAACCGAAGCCATGAGCCAGGTGCTTCTTTCTGGTCTCCCACGCGGGTACAGGTGCCCTAGCACGTGGGCCATCCTCCACTGCCTTCCCAGGCCACAAGCAGAGAGCTGGACTGGAAGAGGAGCAACCGGGACTAGAACCTGGCGCCCATATGGGATGCTGGCACCATAGGCGAAGGATTAACCAAGTGAATCACGGTGCCGGCCCTACTTTAGTCTTAATAAGCCACCGAATTTCAAAGGGTTGAGCTATGTTTTTGTTGGTTGGATTAAGAGGTTAAAAAGTAAAACTATATATATTCCAAGGCAAAATAACTTTTTTTAATGAAGAGCACAAATAGTTTAATTATGTACAGAATGCACAGTTAGTTGCATTTTAAGTGCTGCAATTTTAAGTTGCATTTAGTTTGTTACAATTCAGACTTTGTGAATTTTCTTAAGTTTAAAATCTCAGTTACAGGGCCAATGTTGTGCCATATCAGGTAAAGCCGCCACCCCCTATGCCGCATTCCACATGAGTACTCATTTGAGTACCAGACATTCCAATTCTGATCTAGCTCCATACTAATGGCCCAGGGAAAGCAGAGGAAGATGGACTACATGGCACTCCCATGGGAGACATGAATGAAGCTCTTGACTCCTATCTTCTGCATGGCCCAGAGTTGGCCATTCAGGCCATCTGTGGAGTGAACCAGTAGATGGAAACTCTCGCTCTCTTTCTCTCTCTCCCTCTCCTCCCTCCAACTCTCCCTTTCTTTTTTACAAAATCTCAGTTACGTAGAACAGGTTTTCTTTTGGATGATTCATACAAAGATCAAAATGACTGAGTATGGTGGACAGGGATGGTTAAATTGCAAATGAAATTAAAAACACGGTTTGTATAGTGAAATCCTATGACATTTAGAGCAAACCCGGAGATCTTCAGCTAATTACTGGTTTTAGATAATAGTTTCTTAGGTGATTAAAGGGTTATGGTACTAAATGAAGATCATAAGTTTTATACTGCTAGAACAGGGATAATGCTTCTCTTACTCTTCTGTAAAAGCCACTTTTCTACTTCTAAAGTTGAGTATAAAATGTATGTTGTTGTGATTTGATAATAGTTTGGATGTCCCCTGAAAGGTTAATGGGTAATGGATTAAAGGCAGAAACTTGATGTAATTATGGCATCTTAGTGGCAGGCCCAGAGTGGTCACGGGACTGAATCCAGGAGGTTTCTTGAGTGGTAGTTACTTAAGGGTAGTTCAGCCTAGTTTCCCTCTCTGCTTCCTGGCTCAACATCGCTCTGCGTGAGTACTACCACATCAGTTAGACACCTGAACCAATGTGGCCACCTGAATTGAACTGTGAACCTCCAGAACTATAAACTACAACTTTTTCTTTGTAAGACAGTTCCTTTTAGGTATTCTTTTTTTTTTTTTTTTTTTTTTTGACAGGCAGAGTGGACGGTGAGAGAGAGAGACAGAGAGAAAGGGCTTCCTTCTGTTAGTTCACCCCCCCAAATGGCCGCCACGGCCGGTGCTGCACCGATCTGAAGCCAGGAGCCAGGTGCTTCCTCCTGGTCTCCCATGTGGATGCAGGGTCCCAAGCACCTGGGCCATCCTCCACTGCCTTCCCGGGCCACAGCAGAGAGCTGGACTGGAAGAGGAGCAACTGGGACAGAATCTGGCGCCTGACCGAGACTAGAACTCAGGGTGCTGGCGCCGCAGGTGGAAGATTAGCCTAGTGAGCCGTGGTGCCAGCCTCCTTTTAGGTATTCTAATTAAAGTACCAACAAGCTGACTAATACAGAAAATTGCAGAGTTTGGGGGGTCATTTTTTGGATTATGCCCGAAGATGTAGAAGAGCCTTTAGAATTTATTTTCAGGAAAAGGTTAGAAGAGTTTGAAGGATCAGGCTAGAGAGAGATTTGAATGCTGCAAGCAGAGTAGTTCAGGCAATTCTGAAGTCTCGTCAGAGTGCTGGTGGAAATGCAGACAGTAAGGGCCATGCTGACGAATCTCAGATGAGAATAAAAATTCTGTTGGGAATTAGACTAAAGGGAATCCTTGTTACACGGTGACAAAGAAGCTGGGTTTTTTGTGTCCATGTCCTGAGACCTTTTGGGAAGCTGATTTTAAAAACAGCGGAGTAGTTTGGTGGAGATTTCAAGGCAGGGAAGTCTTCAGGCTGTATCACAGGTGCTATTGGCTGTGCCACAGTGAAAATCGGGAACAAAGTGGAGAAGAGTGGAAAAATCAGGAACATTCTCCTTCTAGCATGGAAGTAAGAAAGAACAAGTGCGTTTGGGAAAGGAAAGTGAGATGGCGAAAATGTCTACTAATAAGATGAATGCAAAGAAATGCATGCCATGTACTAATGGTACATGCAAAAAAGACCCCTAATGGGAGAAAGACATTTTAGAGATCTTCAGGCAGTCCATTCCATCACAATCCCATCAGAGATCTAGGAGTAAAAATTTGTTTAAAGATTTCCAAGGAAAAATCCTTTTGGAAAGTAGCCCCCAAGAAAACTGCTCACCCGGGATTAGCTGGGTTTGCCAGTCTAGGCAGGGCTCCTGTTGCGGCAGACCTTGGCGTTGTCCAAGTAATGCTGATTTTGAAGACACATAGAATACAGGAGGTATGGGCTCATACCTTGAGGCAGCATCACTGAGATTTCAAAGGAAAGCTTGCAGGACCAGAAAGAGTTGTGCAGCAGGGTTGGAGCCTCTGCATGGAACAATGCCCAATGGAGTTTTGAGAATGGAGCTGCAGAAGAGACCTCAGAAAAGTAGAAGCGCCAGCCATGTGAAGTACCCACTGAGGAAAACTATGAGCAGTGTGCAAGAAAAGACTGAGAATATCACCATCATCACTCTGCAGTCTCCTAAGAGTAGCCATGTGGGCAAAGATCAAAAAGACATGGAGACATGGAGGCCTCCACCTATACTATAAAGGATGTTCCAGACAACCTAGGAGCCCAGAGATTGGTCACAGGAGTAGAATCATTGCAAAGAGTATTCACTAGGGCAATGTTAAGTGGAAGGGTGAGGGTGGAGCTGCTTCATAGCCCGACCAGGGCAATTTCTAGTGGATCTGCAAGGATGAGATAAAACCTATGAGAACTGCAGCATGAGTTGTAACTCACAAAGCCACAGGGGTAAGGCTGCCCAAGCCATTGGGAGCCCAGTCCCCAACACAGTGTTGGAATCCTTAGGGATTCCCCAGACATGGAACATTAGTATTTAATGTTTGCCCTGTTGACTTTCTGTCTTGATTTGGCCCAGTTATCCTTGCTATTTCCATGCGTTCCTTTTTTTGAAAGAGAAATTAATGACCTGTGCATGTCTTTGTGTCTTGGAGGCAGGTAACTTTTGTTTGGACTGTGCAGGTTCACAGCTAAGGGAGTTTGCCCTCAGGCTAAGACAAGACTGTGGATCGTGGAATTTTGGATAATTGTTGGACTGAGTTCAGATCTTCGGACTTTTTTTTTTTTTTAAAGGAAAAGTGAAGAGATGGGGATGGTATCTTTTGATTCATTTTCTAAGTGCCCAGAACAATTAGGGCTAGGCCAACCCAAAGCCAGGAACTAGGAACTCCATCCTGGTTACCTCTATGGGTGGAGGGGCCCAAGTATCTGAGCATCATCTACTGCCTCCAAGGCACATTAAGAAGCTGAATAGAAAGCACAGAGTAGCCAGGACTAAAATCAGGCACTCTAATACGGTTGTAGGTATCCCTAGTGGTAGCTAAATCACTGGGCCACAATGTTTATCCTTACTTTAGGACTTTTTGGATAGAATAAGTATCTATTATGTCTGAGCAGGCATGAGGTTTTGGGATTTAGGACATATGCTATGGTTTAAATAGGATTTGGTTCCCCCATATCATGCACATATTTAATCCCCAATGTCTTATATTAATGGTTAATACATTATAAACACTTGATCTAATTATGGAATCTGGGAGGTAGGCCTACTGAAAGGTTTTTGGGTCATTGAAGGTGTGCTCTTAGAAAGTAGGTCTTGTGAAAAGGCTGGTTATACAAGCAGAGAATGCTTCCAGTCTCTACTACTTCCTGGCTCACCATGTGATCCACCCTCTGCAGGCATTTCATCCTTATCAGATGCCAGACTAGTGAGAGTACCCAATCTTGGACTGGGAGCCTCCAAAACTATAAGCTCAAACAAACCTTCCTTTCTTAGAAGCTCCTCTCACATATTTACTTAAAGTGACCAAAGCTCACTAATACAGTTCTGGTTGCTTGTGTCATGAAAAGTCATGGAGAAAACCTATTGCCTTTTCTTCCACATATTTTCAATACTATGGCTTTTGTCTTTCTTTTCTGATTTCAGAGAAGATCCATTTTGTAGTCTGTAACTTATTATTTACATTTTTAATCACTGTCTCCTTTATTGCTCTATTCTTCCCTGTCCGCTCATGTCTCCAACATGACTTTTCCAGACTTCCTGTTTTACTGAGATCTGACCCAACAAATCAGTCCATTGAGTGTGAGTATTGCCTACTGACTTTTGTTCATCTATTCTACTGTGATATTTTTCTATGTGTGCCTTATCTTTACCAATCCTGTGATTAATACTAGGTGATTTCACATCTAGCCTTTCCTAAATTTAAATTCAAGAACCAACACTTAAGATTATAGGCCTTAAATACCTCAACTTCTCTAAGCTTCAGTTTTCTAAATAGTCTGTAAAAGGGAAAATAGTTTTCACTTAGAGTTTGCAATTATTAAATGCAAAAATGCCTGTGAAGATCTTAGAGTAGTACTCTCTTTGATGTTTTTTGTTGGTCTTAAAAGTTTCAGAAGAGTTGCCAGATAAGAAAAGTTTTAAGGCTCCATTGAAAATTACCTTTCTCTTTCATTTTGATTGCTTGTGTATTGTATTTAAGAGTTGCTGAAATACAGTGACTTCTATGACCTGGATTTGAATGCTAATCAGCCAGCAATTGCCTGGTTTTCTCCTTTTTTTAAGATTTTGTTTCAAAAAGTCCTCCTTTTAGGATTTATTCTCTACTAATAGCCAAACTTATTTATATAAACAAGCTCCCTTGATTTTGGTACATGTGTATGTGTACTGATTACTTTCAGTAGCTTTAAAGATAACTATTCTACTTAGCCATTTAATCAGCTCAGTTTAATAGACCAAAAAAATAAAAGAAAATAATGATCACAATATTCATGGTAGGAACTCTAACAAGAGCTTACTATGCATTTTCTCATAGGATAATCACAACTATCTTTTTTTTTTTTTTTTTTTTGACAGGCAGAGTGGACAGTGAGAGAGAGAGACAGAGAGAAAGGTCTTCCTTTGCCGTTGGTTCACCCTCCAATGGCCACTGCGGCTGGCGCTGCGGCCAGTGCACTGCCGATGGCAGGAGCCAGGTACTTATCCTGGTCTCCCATGGGGTGCAGGGCCCAAGCACTTGGGCCATCCTCCACTGCACTCCCGGGCCACAGCAGAGAGCTGGCCTGGAAGAGGGGCAACCGGGACAGAATCCGGTGCCCCGACCGGGACTAGAACCCGGTGTGCCGGCGCCGCAAGGCGGAGGATTAGCCTAGTGAGCCGCGGCGCCGGCCACACAGCTATCTTTTAAAGTTGATACCACTGTCATTCCCATTTTTCATATAAAAAAACTGAGTTTAGAATTACTAAGTTTTTTGTCTGAGGTTTGACAACTCCAGTATTAAGTGATAAGTTAAGATTTGAATTCATTTTCCCTTACATGTTGCCTTTACCACCAGGCAATATGGAAAGAAACACGCCAGTACCACACAACCTCAGGTGAGGAACCCAACAGTGGATACACAAGACTTTTACATGATACTTTCAATTATTATCTTTCAAATTATCTATGTTTTCATTTTTCTAGGACTCCCTTAGTATTGCATTGAAAAACATATTTGATATAATGTTGAAAATGTGTGAAATGTTAAATTTAATGTTAAAACAGTCAGGTAACCACTGTTTGCTTAGGAAACTAACATTTTTTCCTACAGTACATTTCCTCTGTTTCACAGAAATGGAGATAGAAAAAGGTAAATATAACCACATATTTATGAATTTGGTAATTCTAAGAAGTTCAAAGCTAGCCTGCCAAAGAAAAACAATTTTATTTTGAAAAGGAACAGAATGAAAGTCAGACTCCCTGAGCTCTAGTTTTGATTTGATTCTTTCTCCTCTTCTGTTGTGAATTTAGCCAGCATTTACTTAGGATTCTCACTATTAATGGCAACAGTTCTCATTGATGCTGCTAGAAAAAGTAGTTTCTAGAATCCATTCTCTCTTTAGAACTGCTCATATATATTCACTAAATGTTTAATGTAACATTTGTCTAATGAAATCAAAGTCTGTTAAGTTTAATGTTTACAGCATCAATTCCTACACAAACAAGGACATTTTGATCTTAAGGATTTTATGTACAGAAAACATCCTTATAAAAATGTGAACAACTATGAGTAGAATACAATGAGACAAGCAGCACATCATAACTTACTGTTCATTATCAAATTTGTAAGCCAATTGTACCTCACAAAATTACACATTGACATTTTTCTGAAAAACGATTACATTCTTAACTTATTTTATAGTTAAAATTTAAACTTAATCCCCTCCCCAAATTGCATGAAGGAAATTTTGATCATGTAAAAAAGAGACATATCAATATTATTATTTTGTCATTTTGATGTAAAATGCAAAACTATAATATTATCAAAGATCATAAATAGGTTTTAAAAATTGTACAATTTATGAGATTTCAGAAGAAATTAAATAAAGAAATTTGAAACATCATTTAAAGAAATGTTGAAAATCTTTCAATTGAACAATATAAGAAAACTTGACTTGGGCACAGCACTAAAAAGTGCATTATCCCACTAATGAAACACAGGTATTAAGCATAAAATGCTATGCTGTGATAAAGTGATTTTATGAGTATATGAAATGACATGCAAAAGATAAACAGTGGGTTTTATTACTGACAATGTGATACTACAATGTGTTGTAGTATCAGAGGGAATTTAAAAAACTCGGTTTAAAATATTGCTTAGGTTATACAGAAAGTGAAAGAATACTTTCAAAAACCTCCTCAACTAGAAATTAGAAAGGTAGTTATTTTATAGTGCTAAGCAGTTGTCAAAGATACATAAATAAGAGCTTCCCTAAAACAATAATAGATGTATGATGTATATAGAAAAATTAAAATTTATCCAATAACTCAAGATGAAAATTAATAGGAAAGTATGAAAGAAAAAAATCCAGATCATCAGGACATATGGGAGGTAGGATTCCATAAAATAATTGCTTTCATAAAGAAAACAGAATACATATTTTAGTTTTCTTAAGTATACATTGCTATATTAGGAATTGTCTATTTTACTAAAAATTATTAAAATGTACATAATAGCTAATATACACATATATTAGGACTTGTTATTTCAAATAAAATTATTCCTCCTTAAAATAATTCTATCTGGGGCCAGCGCCATGGCTCACTTGGTTAATCCTCCGCCTGCAGTGCCGGCATCCCATATGGGTGCCAGATTCTAGTCCCGGTTGCCCCTCTTCCAGTCCAGCTCTCTGCTGTGGCCCGGGAGTGCAGTGGAGGATGGCCCAAGTGCTTGGGCCCTGCACCTGCATGGGAGACCAGGAGGAAGCACCTGGCTCCTGGCTTCGGATTGGCGCAGCACCAGCTGTGGTGGCCATTTGGGGAGTGAACATTTGGAAGGAAGACCTTTCTCTCTGTCTCTCTCACTGTCTATAACTCTACCTGTCAAATAAATAACGAAAACACACACACACACACAAATTCTATTTGTTGCCTCCTTTATGTAATAATAGCTGTTAAAAAATCCTGGCCTACATAAACATTCTGAAAACTCACCATTTTTTATACTGTTAAAATCTGAACTGATCGGCTAAGAGGGTAAATATAACATTGTAAGATGCCTTACCCATCATAGAGGTTACAAGACTCAATGCAGATCCTTCCTCTGCTAAAGCGGCGGCATGACAGGCACTGGTCCGGCCCAGGTCCCCAGCAGCCATCATTTGAACACAGGTGGTTGCACACCATTCCTTCAGCAGCTACCAAATACACCAGAATCAGGGGGAAAAAAAAAGAAAACATTGTGTCAAAACTTTTAATCTTCCAGAGTAAAGCTATTTCTGAAGGAATTTGTTTGAAATATATCTGTATCAAAACAACTTTGTTTACCTACCCTGTCACTGTACCCCACTCTACCTCCAACTTTTTTCCTTATGGCAAGGTTCTAGTCATTTTGTTTACATGGTAATGCAACATTTTCCATAAGACTAAACAAAAGCTAATTGCTAATATGAAAACTATAAGGAGAAGTGTTAGGTAATAGCTTTCCAAGGTAAGGGCCAAAGCGTTATCTTTTCCAAGACAACAGTTTGCTCCACTAACACATTACATTAGCTTCAATTCAATATGAGAGCTTCAAGTAGAAAAAGAATAAGATAAATATACGTGTGTGTGTGTGTGTGTGTGTGTGTGAAAAGAGTAAAAGGATGAAAAAGAAGAGGGTTGGCAACTGGTATTGTGGCATAGCAGGTAAAGCTGCCACCTGAGTGCTGGCATCCCATGTAGGTCCCAGTCTACATCCCAGCTGCCCCACTTCCAAGCCAGCTCCCTGTTAAAGGCATGGGAAAATAAGTAGAAGATGATCCAAATACTTTCTTGGGCCCCTGACTCCATGTGGGAGAAAAGGATGGGGTTCCTGACTCCTGGGTTCAGCCTGTTCCTGACCTGGTGGTTGTGGTCATTAAGGAAGTGAAGCAGTGGATGGAAAACCTCTCTTTCCCCCCGTGATAATCTCTGTTGCCTCTGCCTTTCAAATAAAAATATAGATAAATCTTTAAAAAGAAAAAGAATATTTGGAAGTCAATAGAGGGCAGGGGAGGAGGTACAGAAATAAAGTACAACTGTTTTACAGATTTTCTACTTTAGTCTGACTAAGCCTACCTGGATATGGGTCAAGCTGGTACATGGAGGAAAAAGTTTTAAAAACATTATTCAAAAAGTTACAGTGGTTATTTAGAAAAAAGGTACAGATTAAAATAGTAAGCATGGTATTTAGTCTTATCTCTGTTTTTGTTGCTGATGGGAGAAGTAACACAGAATTTGATGTTCATGTTTTAAAATTGGCACTTAAGGTTCATCATCTCACTCCATGATTATACTGCACAACATTTATATGCAAACAGGGCTCCCTGGTATATTATTATTTATATGTCTTAATACAACTGTGGTGAGAGGATACTAGATATTGAAAGAGAAGTTCTACAAAGACTTCAAATGTTATTCCAGCACCTGAAAAGTGATTTCAGGCATCTGAAACACAACGTATAATATGTTAAGAATTATCAAGATGAAAACATCAAAATCAGCTTTATTTCCTTGTTAGTTACCAACTGACCTACTCTGGTATGTGAGATTTTCTGGTAAGAGCATCTGTGGGTGGGGTGGGAGACCACTGGATGTGTTAGTGTAATATGAGCAGAGGATTCTATTTGTGACGTCTGTGAAAGTTAACTTTTCTCATGTGCTTGGGAGTGAATTGCCTGCATCTGTGATTCTGACTAGTTTTGCAACAGGGAAATAGACCTCCACATTCATATTTTCTTTGTCCTTTACCCTGGGGCTGTAAGTAGGCTCCTCTGTCAAAATGTGTAAAATGTTTTCTCAAGGCAGACTCAGGCCTTTCAACAAATGCCTGTGTAACTGAATAATCTCTCCCAGTGTTGCTTAGGAAGAGTGTGTGAGCAGTTTTGTTGAGGTATACATGACATAAAATATACTGCTCAAATGTACAACTTGATACGTTTTGGCATATGCATGTAATCACAAGCCACATCCACAATCAAGATAATAAACATATCCATTACCTCCTGAAGATTCCTTAGGCACTTACATAAGCCTACTCTCCCACTCCACTCCCCTTAAACAACCATTGGTCTGTTTTCTATTACTCCCTGTCTACTAGTTTGCATTCCCTAGAATTTTATATAACGCAATTGTACAGTGTGTGTTTTTTAATGGTTTCTTTCATTCAGCATACTTTTTGGAGCTTTATCCATGTGGCTCTGTGTACCAACTGTTCCTTCATTTTTATTGCTGTATATATATACATATATATATATGAGATATTCCATATTTTTAATCCATTCACATATTTATAGACATAAGATTATTTCCCATTTTTGGCTATTCTAATTAATCTAACTTGAACATCTGTGAACAAGTCATTGTATAGACATACACTTTCATATCCCTTGGGTAAATAGATAGCAGTGGAATAGCTTGATAGTATGGAAAGTATAGCGTTAACTTGATAAGAAATTATGAATGTGGTTTTCAAATTTTCACAATTTTACTTTTCCAGCAGCAATGAACATAACTGGAGAGTTGCATTACCACACTATTGCCAACACTTGATATGGTCAGTGGTTTAATTTAAGCGTTCCTAGTTGGTATGCGGTGGATCCTGATTATGGCTTTGATTTGTAATTCCCTAATTATTGAAGATGTTGTGAACATATTCTTGTGTGAATATTATTTTATATTTTAATTTTTAAATTTAAATTTTAATTAGTTTTTAACAGACTCAATGTGCTTTGTAAAAACAATTCTAAAAACACAATATTTCCTTCCTCTCTCACTCCCTATCTCCTCCCTCCCCCTCCTACCATCCCTCCTACCCCCCTTATTTTTAGGTTTTTGAAATAACATATTTTAAATTTACATTACAGTAAAAAGGTTTAATACTACACCAAATAAGAAGCTTAACAAGATAAAGCAAAAAAGACCTTTGTTAAGTGGGAATATAGACAATGGCTATAAACAATAATTAAATGGAAAAATGACCATTTCACCCATATTCAGTAAAATTTAAAGTAAATACAGATCATTAAAACTATATTTTCCTTTTGTTGAATACATATGCAGAAGTATAATTTCTGGGTCATTATGGTAATAGCATTTTATTAATTATTCTTTTTCTTTTCAAGAAAAGTAACAAACTGTCCTCCTTTAGAATTCTTGTACCATTTTACATTCTGACCAGCAACATTTAAGTTATTCCATCTCTCTATATGTTCTCCAGAATTTTATTTTCTCATTTCTTAAAAAATAAAAACTATCCATTCTGATAGTTGTAATGATAGGTGTTTAATTATAATTTTTGTAAAATATCTAGTAACCTTGAGCATCTTTTAATGTGCCTGTTTATATTTTTTTAAAGATTTATTTATTTATTTGAAAGTCAAGTTACATAGAGAGAGAAGAAGAGGCAGAGAGAGAAAGAGGTCTTCCATCCACTGGTTCACTCCCCAGATGGCTGAAATGGCCAGAGCTGCACTGATCTGAAGCCAGGAGCCAGGAGCTTCTTCCTGGTCTCCCACGCGGGTGCCAAGGACTTGGGCCATCCTTTGTTGCTTTCCCAGGCCATAGCAGAGAGGTGGATTAGAAGTGGAGCAGCTGGGCCGGCGCCGCGGCTCACTAGGCTAATCCTCCGCCTTGCGGCGTCAGCACACCGGGTTCTAGTCCCGGAGAGAGCGCCGGATTCTGTCCTGGTTGCCCCTCTTCCAGGCCAGCTCTCTGCTGTGGCCCGGGGAGTGCAGTGGAGGATGGCCCAAGTGCTTGGGCCCTGCACCCCATGGGAGACCAGGATAAGCACCTGGCTCCTGCCATCGGATCAGTGCAGTGCGCCGGACGCAGCACACCGGCCGCGGTGGCCATTGGAGGATGAACCAACGGCAAAGGAAGACCTTTCTCTCTGTCTCTCTCTCTCTCACTGTCCACTCTGCCTGTCGGCCATTGGAGGGTGAACCAATGGCAAAGGAAGACCTGTCTCTCTCAATGTCCACTCTGCCTGTCGACAAAAAAAAAAAAAAAAGAAGTGGAACAGTGGAGCAGCCGGGACTCAAACCAGCACCAATATGGGATGCCGGCACTGCAAGCGGCGGCTTTACCCACTATGCCACAGTGCCGACTCCGTCTCTTTGTATTTGTATATCTTCTTCAGAGAAATGGTTCTGTCCATCTTGATTAGATTGTTACTGAGTGCTTTGATCTCTATATATTTTTCTTTTGACATCTATCATTTATGTACATACATATCTATCTATGTATATCTAATCTATGTGATTTTAATCTTTTTTCCAATTCTATAGCTTTGACTTTCTTTCTATTGTTAGGAAATTTTTAGAGCAAATATTTTTAAATTATATTAAGTCAAATTTAACAGTTTTTTTCTCTTATAGATAATTCTTCTGTTATGAAATATGTTCCCTTTGCCAAGTCTTATATCCCAAATAATTGCACTTTTTTTTTTCTAAAACTTCTATGGATTTACATTTTACATTTAAGTCCATTATCTGTTTTTACAGGTTTGTACAAGGTTTAAGATTGAGATTAGTGTTCACTTTTTGATCTACGGATATCCACTTGCTCCAGGATCATTAATTCTAAACTTGATCTTAGCCAAAAGGCCAATAGGCATTGGATCGCTAATTCTGAATCTTTCCTTTGGGATATTTCTTTTATACTTTTGTAAGAAATAATTTGGGTTCTCTATTCTGCTTACTTTACTCATTTATATGTTTATCACTGCACATCATGACACAGTCAATACTGTAGCAATGTAATAAATATCGAAATTAAGCACATTAATTCTTCATTTAATGCCTTTTATTTTGCAAATCTGTCTATCAATTTGGGCAGAATGGATAATTTCATGATTTTGAGTCTTCTAATTCATGAACATTGGAAGCTTCTATATACATCTAGATCTTTACATTCTTTCATCCATATTTTGTAATTTCCGTGATTATAAATTTTGTTACAGTTTTCATTTCTCTGTTCATATGTTAGTTTCTAGTGTTTAGATAAAATCAAATTTTATATTTTATCTTTTTTCCTATTATGTCTTAAATTCATTTATTTACTTTGTGTATTTTTCTACAATCATGTCATCTTCATATAGAGATAGTTTCATTTCTTCCTTTTAAATCTGTATGTCTTAAATTCTTTATTTACAATTTGCCTTTCCACCCTGCTGTAC